ACATGGGGGAACATTGAGCTAAGGTGTTGATCCAGATTGTCCAGCATACACTTGGAATAAAGCGTTATGTGGCCAGCAGAATGGTGACTATTCTCAAGCCTTAGAAACTATAATCAGAGTGGAGCTGTTCACAAGGAGTACAGAGCATGTGTCCATGGTCCATGGATTAGTGTTTTGATGGGCAGAAAGACCTGCTGCACTTCCTGGCAGCCCTTCTCCCTTGGGTGAAAGCACTGTTTTCATCTCTGCGCTCAGTTCTCAATACTTCATGTAGCTGTGATGCAGCTCTTGAGCTTGCATCACTGTTGGGTTCATAGGTAGATGATAAGTCTCAGGGAAAATGGTCCTTACAATTTCTTACTTTTCTAAAGGTGGTAAGCATTTCTGTTACAATAACTGTATATGTTTGTTTGTTTTTCTTACGGTGGAGGGCCTTCCACACATAGAATTGGCTCAGGGGAGATGAAACATCTTAAACATTTTACAGCTTGTTTGAATGCATTGCCACAGTTGTAAGCAGTGTCCTAGGGCTCCAGACAATGGGGGGGGGGGGAATTGCAGGAACGAAAATGAATGGGAAAGGTGAAGAAAGGTACTGAGTTCAAAGAAACTGAACATATTCTTTAAATAGCTAGACACTTGTACACTGTTTGATGACTTTTTTATACTGAGTCAATTGCAATAGAAGAATAGAAGACTAGACTGTCCCTGACACCTCCCTGTGCATCAGCTGTCTTCTTGGCTCATCAAGCTCCTTTGAAGCAGATTTCCTTCAGGTGCACATGCTCAAGCTAACACACTCCTCTGCGTAGTAACTTCGTGTTCTGGCCCAGTTCTTGCCATTTCCCTTACTTTTTAAGAGAAATGAGACTCAGTCCTTGAGTTAGCTTTTATGGAATAGTGGGGAAAAGGTGAGCATAGGGAGATGCTAACTAAAGATGCCACAGTTACTGAGTAAAATGCAGAGGTGTTTCAGTCCATGTTCCATAGCAGTCTGAGGACACAGCCCTTCAGAAAACCCATGTTCATGGTGTAAGTCCATGGATACAAATGTGTCAAGAAATAATAAAATGCAACAATGTTCTTCTTAACTTGGCTGTCTCGGACCAGAAAAGGAGTGTCCTGAGGAAGATGCTCTTCTTAGTGGGCAGCATATAGCCAGTAGCAGTCTCTAAGCATCTTACAGGGCAGTGGATAGTTCCAGAATTCCCTGGAAAAAAAACCTAAAATAAGGCATTATTGCTATGTGAGATGTATATTTTACAGAAGTCCTAAATGAAACAGCCCAGGCAGACAAATTTAGAAAAGACAAACCTAGGTAGTAAGGCAGCAGTTACTCAGTGTGCACCATAAACACTAGCCAAACTGCATGTAGCATGTAAAATCAAACCCTCTTTAAATCAGTCTCACACTCTCTGACTGCCAGTATGATGACATGAGTGGAAAATTCCATATGTGATCCCATGAGGTGGCCCCATGCAGAACACAGGTACACTAATTGCAAATAGTAGTGTATACATTACCTTCAGATCATATATGTGTAAAAGAAAAGTTTCCTGTTGAGTCTGGGTTCCATCCCCCAAGGACTCTCATGTATGTTCAAATATTTTAAAGTATGGGAAAATGACAAATCTGAACGATTTCTGGTCCCAAGCATTTTGTAAAGGGAGGACTGCATGTGTGTGCTGGGGTTCTTAGAACTAAGTAGAACTTGGAGGTTCATAGGATATGTATTGCTTCCCAGCTTGTCTGCTGCATTCAACTTAAGTTATTGTGCTCCCCCACCTCATGTAGAAATGGGACAGATTTGTGTAAATCTGTCCCCTGGTAGTGTCACTTCTGGCTTTGTTATATGCTTAAAAGGTATTCTCACACTAGTGTAAAAAAGTCTCCAGCACTTCCCTTCAGATGCTTTGTGGCTTTGTTTCTGACATTGAAACCTCATATGTGTACAAGAGCACAGGTGCCTATGGTGGCCAGGAAGGACTCAGATCCCTGGGAACCATAGTTGCAGGTGGTTGTGAGCCACCATACGGGGCCCTCTGCAAGCACCCTGAGCTCTTAACCACTGCGCCATCTCTCCAGCCCCTGAATTATATTCTTAATGAATTGATTTATTTTTGTTCTCCGAATGAAATGAATTTTATATTTAACATTCTCAATATTAAATTTTCACTGAACACTTGGTTATGGTGTTTGCTTTTGATATTTGAATTATATAAATGTATTAACATTCACAAACAGATTTAGTGTTAGACTATGTATTCAGATATCTTTTGTTAAAATTTGTGCATGATATTTCCTTTGATATACTATTTTTTAACTGTTATGTTGTTTTGTATGATTTTTAAATTATTATATACTAGTACCTTTGCCTTTAATTATTATGGGCTAGAAGAGAATTGATCACTAAAAGTACAGCAGAAATCAGCTTCTGACCATGTTCCTTTTGAGTTGGTGTGTTTCTGAGGAAGCTTTTTGAATACCTTTTCCTTATATCTTTGGAAATTGACATTTTTAACTGATCAGAGATCAAATTTTGATCACTTCTGTTGCCTTAGAAGACTATAGCATCTCTAGTTTGTGCAGACCTGACTAGTAGCAGCTTAGTCTTCTTGTGGCTTCCCTTTAGCATGTGTCTGTGTACTCTAGGGAGATCGGTGTGCATGGCTCTATTTCAAGTCTTCGTTGTGCCCACACCTATGTTTTTAGTTGTTTGGGGTTTTTTATTGTCTGTCAATATCATATCAGACAATGTATGGATATTCTACATCTAATGTTTAAAGTATTTTTATTGTGGATCTCCTACATTGTATTTGATCCTATCCCACAACCCCCCAATCCCATCTTCCGTCCCCTGTCCCCACCCCTCACCCTCACTATTGCATGCTCATTTTCAGCCTCTGTGTTGCTTGTTTGTCATCTTGTTTTTGTGTTTCACTGTGGTGTTTTATAGGGTAATTTTAAAACTTCTTGTTCTAAGTTATTTATAAATTTAAATAATCTCTAAGGTGGCTCTTCAAAGCTTTTGACTGACAATGTGGCAGAATTAGTATGCTTCACTCATCTTCCTCCCTGACATTCTCGTTTGTTAATTGTCAGAGGTTCTGTTCTGTTCTGTTCTCTAATCACAGTCTCCACGTTTCTTTCCATCTTAGTCCTTCAGTTAATTGTATGACAGAGAAAGGATATCTGTAAGAGCAAGCTGTCTCCTACACAGTCACCATCCTCCCCAGCTGAAAGCACAGGGCTCAGCAGGACCCTTGGCTAGGATTTTTCCAGAAAAAGGACAAAAAAAAATCCACTTTTGAATAAGAAGGTCCTTAAATGCTAGATTTTTATTTTCCATTTTCAAAATCATGATAAAAATGTTTCTGTCCTGTTTCATCTCCTTGAAGTCATTGTATTACTTTCTTTTCTCACATGGGTAATTACCCAGGAAGAGTCCGAGCCAGTCTGTATAATTTGATTGATTTTTTGATGTTGTTTTGAGGCAAAATCTCACTTGGTATCCTAGGCTAGCCTTAACCTTGCTATGGAGGCTTTGCAGTCTAACCTGTCCTTTAGCTCAAACTCCTGATGCATCCTGAGGTTACAGGGACACATCTCCATGCCTGGCTTTATGGTCTGTTATTATTTGGATTGGCAAAAGACCCTCTGAAGACCACTAGTTTACAGAAAAACAAAATGTTGAGGTTTTCTGGGGTTTTGTTGTTTTGTTTTAAATGATTAGAAATAGAAGAAATATATTGATTTGTTTAAACTAAAATAGCTGGTGAAAATAGGGTCAGTAATACAGCTTAAATGAAGTACAGATGGACACACACAAATTGTGAAATGGAGTGAGCATAGCTGGTGAATACAGGGTAGCTGGTGAACACAGGGTAGATAGTGTAGACAGGGTAGCT